ACTGGTCGTAGTCGTAGTCGTGGTAGGTTAGGAGTAGTAGTAGCAGTAGCAGTAGTAGTAGAAGAAGACGTAATTGTAGTGGTGGTAGTAGTAGCAGTAGTAGTAGTGGTAGTGGTAGCGGTAGTGGTGTAGCAGTAGTATTAGCAGGCCACTACAGAACCGAAAACTTTTTCTTCATATGGGGCGTAAGACTTGTGCGTATAATTATCAAAATTACTTATGTAAGAATGCTTCCGCGAAAGTTGCGGATTCCGTCTTGCTGCTGTGAAAAGCAGTTTTTACATGAAGAAGGTCATTCAGGGATGAAAGATTGAAGAACAACAGCCACACATATCCCGTGGAGTGTGAAGCTTCTTAGGGTTTGGCAGCATATCAGTTACATAGGCAATATAGGAGATGCTATTACCAATCATTGTGGCCATGATTCCATTATGCAGCCCTTTATCGACTAAAGGCGTGGTTCATGTCTGGTTGGGGCGTTACGCATGTTGAAACACCGAACACCGTGTGCGGCCTAACTCTAAACGCCTTAAAACCCCTAAAACATCAGCTCGCTGAAGGCAGCGGCCAGCCTTCGTCGGAAGCTGAGCGGAGCCCTGCAATCCAGACAGTCTAGTAGTCCTATAAAAACTAGAATAGTTTCGTGAAGAGGTTTATAAGAGCGTTACACGGGTGCTTGTGGGATCTTAGACGGTTTATGATAGAGGCCCTAATCATCAGTACAGGGTCTGGTAGTACCTAAAGTTGTTATATGCTGCTGTAGGGACCTTCTTGCACAAGAAATTCCAGCTTCGATAGTAAATGTGCATATACTAGTGAGATTGCTTCCGGAAGGTGTGCCAGGTAAACAAACGCTATGAATGAAACTCCAACAGCATAGTTTCCCAGACGCAAACGACAGCTGAAACGCCGAATCCCATCAACTCTCCACAGAGGCGTGGCATTCGTGCATGCATGCATGCACGAGTGGAGTCTTCGTTGAAGGGTTTGAGTCTGACTCTGTTAAACCCCAAACCTTTCATGGTTGCAGGTTGATGTCTCGTGGTTTGTGCATATCGCTGCAGAACCGAGCAACGAGCCAGCGTTTAGGGTGTAGGGTTTAGGATTTAGGTTGTATGATCATTTTCCCAATATGATGGCACTGCCAATGAACCGTACGCGAAATGGGAGTGTGGGTCGGGGATTTTTATGGATTTGGTCCTCCGTGCAAACCCCTCTCAGGCTCTTCGGGGCACCTGCATGGTGCCGATGTGCACAAGTCTCAAAAGGGACCCAGCAAAACCGTCTTTCTGGGAAGGGTGTTTGCTTTGTCAAACACGTCATTAAGCACCACGTATTCGCCCAGAGCCTGGAACTTCGAACAACTAGCTCCCCCATGCCTGGAGCAAAGGACCCGAGGATGTTCCTGTGCCCGACGACGACTCGGGAGATCTGGACCGATCTTCGGGCTCCTGACTAAAGCTTCGTAATTCTGGGTTTGGGGGTTCGGAAGTCGGCCTAAAAGTCTACAACAATGCGCACTGAGGCCCAAACCGCCGTGTAAAGTCCTTGCTTTTCTGGCTGCATTCCAGTCTGCAGGCCCCAGGAAATGGATGAAGTTGCCGTAAATATAGGGGCTTGCATGAATACCTGTAGTATTCGTTAGGTTTTTTGCCATGATTATTCTACACTATTTATATAAAGGAGCCAACAATCCTACGTATTTTTTATTTATTCGGGCCCCTACAGTATTAGTTCTCAACCGACTCATTAAAGCTAAGAGGGATCCGCAAAAGGGTTGAATCAACCACCAAGAGATCTTGAGGACAGAGCCGAAGCGATAGTACGTGAGGTCCTTGGCCTCACAAAGACATGGCTGATAGGGTTTTGCTCAATGTTGAAAGTTTAGGGCTTGGTTCAGGGTTTAGGTTTAGGTCCCGGAACACCGGTGAATGATGGGGGTCTTGACGCGTGACGAATGGAAGCTCACACAGCGTGCTTCCGTTTCCCGCGGGATAAGCCGTGAACCCTAATCCGAACACAATCTGGAGGATTTGAAGACGAAATCTTACTCTGAGTATAAAGGCAACTCATACGTATGAAGCCCCATCCGGCTTTACATTCCCCCGGCTTTAAGAAGGATTTCCAGAGCCGGGATCATGTTTCTTGATTCGATCAACCCTAATTAAGCAGTAAACCCCAAACTCTAAGCCCTAAACGACAAATCAATTAGAGACATCATGCAGACTTCAGGATCGGGGCTAAGGACTTCAAGGTGGGGTGGATTTTCGGGCCGGGTTTCAGCCCTTCAAGATCTTAGGGTTGAGAGTTCAGGGGCTGAGGGCTGTAAGGCGAGTTCTAGTTTTCGGATTTTTGGGTTTTGATAAACCCTAAACCCTAAACCCGAAACCTAGTCTTCAAAAGACTGATGCTCCTTGTGAGGACGAACCGGCGGCTGCGAAGCCGGCCAAGACCAAGCTGAAAGCGGTACGCCCTGCGATGGTTTTGAGCAAATATTAGGACACTGAGGGGGTTGTGCTACAGGGCCATCAGGGTTTCTTGATGGATACAAATCAAAAGACATGAAGATCCATATATCTATGTAATTATATGTATGTATGTATGTATGTATGTATATATATATATATCATAGATACATGCATGCATACATACATACATATGTTACATACATGCATGCACACACACACACGTACGTAGCTCAACGTATAGATTTACATACTTTTGCAAATCGTGTCGTTTCGGTAATGTGTCTGTCATTGAAATATTATCTACATGTATGTGTGTGTGTGTATGTATACGAGTATGTATGTGATTCAATTTGTTATGCAAAGCTGTGCATGTATGTGCAGCACACAAATAGGTCTCTAACTAGATAAATGTATATTCAAACGATTAAGGATATAACTATATAGCAACAACTAAGCGAATGACGACACACATAAACGCGTGACGCAAACATACCTACACTTTCATGGCTTTCGGTAGTCAGGTTTCCATGATTGTGGTGAGAGACTCAAATGCCTAAACTCTCAACCCGACACGCAAGGTCCGGTGCCCTATGCTCAAAAAGTTTTACCTTGAGCCCTAAGCGATATGTACAGAGCGCCCGGAAGTACATACTGATCTCCCTTGTTCTCTGTCGGATATTGGGGATGGCTTTCGTTTTGCTTTCTGAATTGAGGAACCTAAACACTAAACACCTGGAACGCCCTAAACCCTGAATCCCTTCCTGAAAGCCCCTAAAGGCGCTCCGACCGCAACCCCGAACCCAAACCCTAAACCCTCAGCCCTCTGCCCTCTAGGGTTTAGGGTTTTAAGGTTTCGGGTTTTATGTTTAGGGTTTTAGGGTTTAGGGTTTTAGGGCTTTAGGGCTTTAGGGTTTAGAGTTCTAGGGTTTAGGGTTTCAGGGTTTAGGTTTGGACCCTCAGCCCTGAAGAGGCAGAACCGCCGACACGGCTTACCCGTGGCCAGCGGAAGCGACAACAACGCCGGAGTCTCAGCGGCTCGAGCATTTACCGAAACGCAAATGGGAGTTTCAGAACAGAAAGCACAGGTTCATGTGTGTTTTGAGTCTTGGGTTTAGGGTTCAGGGGTTTGAAGTTTTGGGCTCAGGGTTTTGAGTCTTGGGGTTTAGGAGTTAAGGGTCAGGCTTCCGGGATTTTGGGAGTTTGGGTTCAGAGTTTAGGGCGCCTGCATCTTCTGAGGCAAGGAGAACTTCCTCCGGAAGTTCGAGCTTGCCAACCTCGCGTTGCTGCCGAGATTCCGAAAGCCCGAAGCCCCTGCTTAGCCATAGGCTCCATAGTGGCTCCTTTTTAGCATTACCTTGCAGGATCCTAAATATAAGCCGCAAAAAGGAACTACACACCCTAAAACCCTAAAATGTGTTTGGAGCCTACGGGTAGTAGTAAGTAGGGACCTGTAGGGGCTCTCATAGGGATCCACGGCCCCCCACTCCGCCCAGTCCCTACTAAGAACCACGGAGGGAAGCGGCTTACCCGGGGTTACAATAGGGGCCTAGATAATTACAGATACTGTTGTGAGGGTTCCTTATAATAAGTACAGTATAGTAGAGTAGAGTAGAGTGTTAGTATAGTGGGCCCAATACCTATTCTAGTTATTAAGGCCCCTACATTACCCCTTCTCTGATGATAGGTTGTGGGGGTAGACAGAAGCTGGATGGCAGATCATTGGGCTCCGGGGGGTGGGGTGTTTTGAGGGTAAACCCTAAACCCTAAACCCTAAACCCCTAAACCCTATACCCCTAAACCCCTAAACCCTAAACCCCTAAACCCCTAAACCCCTAAACCCTAAACCCCTAAACCTCAACATTTAAGGTTTTCCGGGCCTTTTCAGATTTAGGGCTTCAGGTCTAACGTGCTTGCGTCATTCTTGGGGGCATGGAACCTATCTGGATCGATCCATCCTGGGTTTGCTACAAAAGTTGTTCTATAGGGGCCTGAATAATTCCCAACTTTATGGCTGTATTCTTGCTTCATTGTACTTATTACAAAAAGTATACAAGGGTTTATACAAGTATACTATTGCGTACTCAGAAAGCCGATTCTAACTCCGACATCGTTGAGTATGGCCGAGAGCAAGTCTTGGCTTGGCAGAGCTTTGACATAAGCGTCGGGGGTTGTATGACCGCAGTACGTATGAGACCTGGAACTGTTCCGACAATACAGCGTAAAACCCCAAACCCTAAACCCTCCCAACCCCAAACCCTGCGATCGTTTTAGAAGGCTTCTATGTAGGCCCCCTAGGCTACGCTACACCTGAATTACAATCATTACAACGTCAAGCTTTTAACTATCTCGAACTCTATGGGCCCCCGCAACAGCAAGCCTACAACCCCGATTTGGGTCGAGTTTGAGGTTCACAGCTTACTGTTCGATAGAAATACTGCTGATGGACAAAATTCTGCAAGACCCAAATATAGTATAGTACCATAAATCCCATAGTTTAGGTATATAAGGTCATGCAAGATTTTGTCCATCAACCGTACTACGGCATTTCGGCTCGGGGTTAGTAGGCTCAGGGTGTTTGTCAGGGTCTAGGCCTGTGGTGAGAACGGAAATCCTGCTCGAAAATGTAGGAACCCCAGCCCTACACACAAGTTTGTAAGTTGGAAGACCTCATTCAGAACCCAAACCAAACCCTAAACCCTAGTACCAAAAGCCATCATCCGAATCCTGCATTCCGAACCCTGACGCAGCACATAGTTGTTTACTTAACGCCCTAACCCTCCTCCCCGGTTTTAGCTTTCTGCCAGATCGGAAAGCAAGAGGAGGTCCCATTTTTCTTGCAACTTGGGAGGGGTTATCTGGGCTTGGGAGTACCATACTTTAATACTTTATGAAATAAAACCTCATACTTTTTTCTCCCTGGTTACTTCAAAGCCCAGTTATAATAGCTCTGAGTCTGGTGATATATCTATATGTATGCAGGACCTTTAGGGTCCATTTGGCGTGGGGCCTGGCTCTGTGTATGATTACATATACGCACGAGTATATATATATATATATATATATTATATGATATTGACAGGGGGACTGTGCTCGTCGGTTGGTCGCTAGGAACAGGGTCGGAACAGGGTCGGAACGACCGTCTATGTATATATGTATATGTGCATATACATACATAAATGTGTATACGTATATGTGTATGTGTATGTATGTGTGTATGTATGTACGTACGTATGTATGTATATTATATATATATATATATATATTTACATATGTAAACGACTTGAGGATGTTAGAGGTTTATTTTTGGGTTCAAGAGTTGCAGTTAGGGCTAGGTTGCAGTGTTCGGGGGGCTTGTGGCTGTAGGGCTTATACATGTTCAGGGCTCTGTTCTCAGGAGTTCAGTCCTGGGGCAGTTGTTGGGAGATGGCTGGTTCTCATGTAAAGGGAGGGTTTAGGGTTTAGGGTTTAGGGTTCAGGGTTTAGGGTTTAGGGTTTTAGGGGTTTAGGGTTTAGGGTTTAGGATGTAGGGAATGTAAAGGGAGAAGAAGCACAACTGCATTCACTGGAGTGTCACAGCCAGCATAAGGACGGGCTTTGCCATCAAAGACGCTCAAGACCTGCTCAGACTACATTACATCCCCCGCAATGTAAATCCTCAGCCACGAACCAACTTGGCAAGACAAAGGTTCAAATCAACCATACTGTACTACATGAGGTGTGGATATTCCGTAGATGCTCAGACCACCCGCTTTGCAAGCAACCCTGAACTCTAAATCCAAAGGACCGAAATCCTAAACCCTGAACCCTGAATCTGCCAATAGGGTTATTGAATATACATGCATACGGTATGTTGTGCCCCATGACATTAGGCCCCCACATGATGCCTTATGAGGGTTTCTGAAAATAGGGAACCCTAACATAGTACCCTCAAGAGTAGGATCCTTATGATAGGGACCCCCAAAATAGGGTACCCCTTATTTTCGGAATGGATATAATGTAGGGGCCTTAATAGTTAGCACAGGGTTTAGGGCCAATTATACTTTTTATAGTTATAACAAGGAAGCCCCAAAATAAGTATGGCGGCCCCGACTTGTTTGAGGCCTTCCGGACGGGCAGTTTGGCAAACCTGGCAGATCTCACGGCGCATCTCGAGGAGGTCGGTGCTGAATCCTAAATCCTACTACCATGCACTGAGTCCTCCAGATCAAATCTTTAATGCAATCCTATTTTGGAGTCCTTACAATAAGGATCCTGCTATTTAGGGTACTATATCAGGGTTCCCTATTTTCGGAAACCCTCATGAGGCACCCAGAATTGCCAAGGCCCAGAAACCCAGTCGCCAACGTGAACACCCCCCAAACACGCCCCAGAAACCTAAACCCTAAACCGTTTGGCCAGGACAAAGCGCCGGCGACGGCAAAAGGGCCGAAGCGGCTAGGAAGAAAGGCCCGTTCTTCTGGCTTGAAAGCGGTCGGGGGTTTTTACCAACCGCACACCCTGAACCTAATGATACATCCTCGGTCCTATAGACTCTGAACCTATGGACCATATGAACCTCTAAGCCCCAGCACACGAAGCCCACCTCCTAGCCGTGGGGTTAAGGGACCCAAGGTTTGTGGTTGAGAATCAGCGTTTTCTGTCGGAGGCTTCGAGATTTAAGTTTAGGGATTCCCTTCATTGCGGGTGGTGAGGCCTGCCAACTTCCTTTTTCTATTTGGGTTCCCTTAATAAACCCACATAGTAGGGAAAAGGGTACCCTTATTATTGAGGGGCTACTAAACCCTAAACCCTATAAACCCTTATTATTGGGCGGAACTGCTGCTTTCTTCAGCTTTGTCACCAGTGGGGCTGTGGAGGTGCCGAAGCCGCCAACCGAGCTTTTGCGGCTTCCCATCCCTTGTCGAAGAATTCTCGGAGTCCCTGGAGCTGTTTCTTGTTCTGCTAGCCGCAGCTCCGGCTCAGTTTTGACGTTCCCCCTTTCTTGGTCTACCTTCGGCCGCTGATCGTCCTTAGCCAGCTCTGTGTCTACCTTTGCCCACTCCTCGTCCGGTGTCGGTAATGTAGGGGCCCTAATAGCTAGAATAGGTATTGGGCCCACTATACTATACTAAACTCTACTCTACTATACTGTACTTATTATAAGGAACCCTCGTCTCTTCGGACACTGCGTCGTCCTTGTTCTGGTTGTTCTGCCCGTGCGTAACAGCGGCCATACCTCATCTTGGGCTTGTCACCCTCATGCCCCTAAGCCCTACAAGCCCCTAAAAACGCTATAAATCCCCCACTTAAACCCTTATAAGCCCTAAGCCATATAAACCCCTAAACCTTAAACCCAAAGCCCAAAGCTTGCGAACCCTCCAACCCTAAAACCTTAAAGCCCAAAGCCTTAAGGTTTTCAAACCCTTCAACCCTAAAACCTTAAACACAAAGCCCTAAGCCATATAAACCCCTAAACCCTAAACCTTAAACCCGAAGCCCTAAGCTCGTAAACCCTTCCACCCTAAACCCTAAACCCTAAACCCCTAAACCCTAAAGCCCCAAACCCCTAAACCCTTAAACCCCAAACCCCTAAACCCTGAAACCCTAAACCTTTCAACCCTAAAGCTCATCTCAACGAGAGGCCCAGGCCGCCCAAGATGAGAGGGAGATGGCCCAGTTTCAAGGGGTCCTGGGCTTTAAGGCACAGCTGGGGGGGTAAGGTGGCTTTTAAGGCACAGGGGAAGCAGGGGTGTAGAGGGGTACTGGGCTTTAAGGCAGCGCTGGTGGGGGAAGGGTTTAGGGTTTAGAATTTAGGCTTTAGGGTTTAGGGTTTTAGGTTTTAGGGTTGTAGGGTTAGGGTTTCAGAGTTAAGGGTTGTTCGGGTTCTGGGTTTAGGGCTGGGCGTTGGGCTATGCTAGGATTGTTGGTTTGAGTTTTGATGTTTGGGCTTCGATCGATGGGGCTACTTGGGCGTGTCCAGGCTTGCATCGGATTTCCACAGATTATATCCGATGTGGGCATGTCCCCTCGACTTTGGGTTTGACTTTGGGTTTAGGGTTTAGAGTTTGACATTCCTGCGATACTGCGACAGCGTCATGTGCGTTTTCTTTTGCCATGTACTGCTAGGCTAGGTGCGTGCGCAAGTATCACACATGCATCACTCGAGATCACATATCGCTACTCTCCTATTTTGGCACCCACAAAATGCCGCGATGCCCTACTGAAGTGATCGGTTTTTGGCATGTTTTTTGTTGGCCAATCTGCCTTATCTTCAACATTTCACTAAAGCCAGCCCTGACCCTAAGCCCTAGACTCCCCGAGTGAGGGGTAGTTGACTTTCAGGTTCCTGAGCCGCTCCAACCTCACCTGCTCTCTGGGGGCTTGCCATTTCTGCAGATGGAAAAGGGGGGGCTTAAAGAAACACCCTCGATGTCTTTCAGGCTTTCGAAATCGTCCCCCTTTCTCAAGGGCCTTGAACTGGGGAGCAAGATAGGCGCTGGGGCTTGTGGGCCAAAGATCCTGCCATGGGACTATCTTGACCCTTATGCGTAGAACCACTAGCCTGATCCGACACCCTAAACCCTATATGTCTGCACCGCAACCAACCCTAAGCCCTAAACTCTAAACCCTAAACCCTAAACCCTTGGACCAAACCCTAAACCCTTGGACCAGTCCTCGACGACTTGGCTGCGAAGGCATTCCAGGCAGATCCCTTTGGCGCTCTGGAGCAGCATCTGAAGAACAGCATCAGGCCATGTTGCTGAGGGGTGGGGTAGGGTTTAGGGTTTAGGGTTTAGGGCTATTATCGTTACTATTGAGACTACTCAGCATAAGGAGGATGATGGTTGTGATGATGACGATGATTGTTATGTCTATGTGAGCTTATCAAATTAAACAGCTTTTCGGTTTCTCTGTTGGGGCTGGGGCACGCAGATGGTCGTGCATGCACAACATGTCTGTGATGCCTCCAGCGACTTGTATACACCGGACGAGGCCTTGCAGCATCGAGCAACTTTTGTAGATTTGTGTCCATGCGATTACAGCTTCAGAACGCAAGTCGCAGATCCAAATCGGTTGTTCTTGTTGCTGTGTGCTGCATAGATCCCAGTGCGGGAGTGCTGGGGACGCTTATAAGCCCTAAAACGTATAAGGTGCGCTATGTTGCGCTTGTTCTACGGCGCTGAGGTTTGGAGGAGAAAATCTGATGGATGAGCTAATGTGATGGATGATGAAGCCTTCAAGCGCACAAGCCGCAAACCCTAAACTTAACCACAAATTCCTCAACAGCCGTTCAGGGCAATGTCATCTGGGTTGGACGATCATCCGGTGAGGTCAGTATTAGGGTTTGGTTTCAGCGTTGTGGGGTTTCAGGGTTCATGGTTTAGGGCCGAAACCCTATAGCCTAAACCCTAATTTAGGGTTGAGGGTTTACTGTAGGGGCCTAAATAGTTACCTATCCTATTTTGGGGGTCGCTTATTATGATTATAGTATAATGGGCCCCCCAAAACCCTATTCTATTTATAAGGGCGCCTCCTAAACCCTAGACCCTAAACCCTAAACCCTAGACCCTAGACCCTAGACCCTAAACCCTAAACCCTAAACCCTATATTAAGGGTAACAAAGCCATGGTTGAGTCGGCCGGTCCCCTTCAAAGCGGCCTCCAGCCTTTCGCGCCAGGCTCCAGAAAGAGAAGGAGAAGGCCACAATCTCGCGATGTGGGAGTTTCCGGAAACAAGGGGTACCTTATTTTGGGGTCCTTATAATAAGGATCCTATTATTTAGGGTACTATATTAGGGTCCCCTATTTTCGGAAACCCCCATGTTGATGCCGTTGCTTTGGCTTTGTGGGTTTAAGGTTTAGGGTTCAGGGTTTAGGGTTTAGGGCATTTTAGGGTTCAGGGTTTAGGGTTTAGGGCATTTTAGGGTTAAGGGTTTAGGGTTCAGGGTTTAGGGCATTTTAGGGTTCAGGGTTTAGGGTGTAGGGTTCCGGCTTAGGATTCCCATGGTTTACTGGGATTTTGGGTTCTTTTAGGATTCAAGCCAAGGCTTCAAGGGTTTCGGGTTTAGGGTTTCTGGCTTAGGGTTGTGGGTTTGGGGCTTATAACCCTAAAAGGTCCTAAACCCTAAATTCTTAAATCCTAAACCCTAAACCCTAAAAGCCCTAAACCCTAAATTCTTAAATCCTAAGCCCTAAACCCTAAAATGCCCTAAACCTTAAATTACTAAACCCTAAACCCTAAAAGGCACTAAACCCTGAATTATTAAATCCTACATCCTAAACCCTAAACTATGGCTTGCAGCTTCTGCTTCAGGGCCCCAAGTATCCCAGGATTCGACTTCGGGCGCCCAGTCGTTCCGCCTGGGATGAACGTTTGACGTTTAGGGGTTTAGGGGTTTGGGGTTTAGGGTTTAGGGTTTAGGGGTATAGGGTTTAGGGTTTAGGGTTTACGGTTTAGGGGTTAGGGTTTACGGTTTAGGGGTTTAGGGTTTAGGGTTTGGGGGATTACGGGGTTTAGGGTGTAGGGTCAACACCACACGCCATCAGACCAGAGCAGCCACCGTCCTCAGTCCTCAAGCTTTCGAACCCCAAACCCTTCAATCCTACACCCAAAACCCCCAACAAAACCTTCAACTCCAAAATCCTACGTCCTTGAAAGCCTGCAAGGCCGTTGCAGCATTTCGGATCGACCCGGGCAGCTCGAGGGGTAAGCATATGGAAGCGGTAGTTCATAGTATCCCCGTATCGCCCCCCGCGACTTAGCAGGTACCCCCAAAACCCCAACTATTCCAATCAGAAAGTCGCGCTGCTTTGAACACATGATCACATGATCTCGCACGGAACCGTGTTAAAGCCCTATATGTAAGTAGGCAGTTTGTATAATATTCCCCAAAACCCGAGGCCCTATTCTACTTGTAGAATACAGGCCCCATAGCTCCGAGTCTTCGCCTTGCAGCAGCCGGGAAATCTGGGCCTTCGAAGCATGGATACCTGCAGCCCCTCTCAACCCTAAACCCTAATACCCTAAACCCTAAACCTGTTTAGGGTTTAGGGTTTAGGGCTTTAGCCTGAACCCTAATACCCTGAGGTTTTCCTCCCTTGACGAGAATGGCCATAGGCATCCTAATAGTAAGGCGCTTCTAAGCAGATGTGTTCATCAACCAGGCCTCTAGCTTAATTAGAGCCGAAAGCCTTCCTCTCGGATGAAGACGCAGCTTCATGGCATTGGCGACCTCGTCAAGTGCTCTGGCCGCACTGAAGCCCTATCGCTAGACCCTAAGCCCTAAAAGCCCTGAACCGCATTTGAGGTGCAACATGCATCTGGGCAGGTAGCCAAATGAGCGCCACCCCAACTTTAAAACAAGGAGAAGCCCTAGTCGTAAACCCCGTGTTCAGCCCCATCAAGCCCTATAAACCCTAAACCGTAAACCCTAAACCCTCAACCCTATAAACCGTAAACAGTAAACCCTATAAACCCTAAACCGTAAACCCTAAACCCTCTAAACCCTAAACCGTACACCCTAGAAGCCCTAAGCCCAAAGAACTGTACTAAAACGCCAGCGACTTCCTACTCAGCAACAGGCCTGATCTACTATGCAGGGGCTTAGGTTTACGGGTTTATGGGTTTTAGGTTTAGGGTTAAGGGTTTAGGGTTTAGGGCTCAGGGTTTAGGGTTTAGGGTTAGGTTTATGCGTTTAAGGTTTATGGGGTTTATGGCTTAGGATCTACAGCTTAGGGAACGTAGGGTTTATACGGCTTACATGGATGGTTTAGGGTTTGGGGGGCTTCTGGTTTCGGGGCTCAGGAATCCCAACGGAGGTCGGTTCAGCTGAAGCCTTGTCAAAGAAGGACCCTGGAACCAAAACCTTATTAAATGACTCTATATGTCTTTTCAGAAGAGATACGAGGGACCCTAACATGGATCCGAACTGCTAAGATCCCTGCAAAGAAACAACTCATATCTTTCAGAAGCTTCTAAATACACAGTTCAACCCGTACAATAAAGGGGCTACAAAACCGCATAAGTAGAAGCCCAGTAGAGCCGGGTTGTTTGTTACAGGCGCTTGGAAGCCATTGCGGATGCCTGCGGAGAGCAGAAATCCAAGGAGGCGGCCAAGAGGGTTCGTAGACTTTCCTTCCCAAAGGGTTTTATGCGTTTAGGGATTAATTGAGGTTTAGGGTTTAGGGTTAAGCTTTCGGGTTTGGGGTTTATTATGTACTGTTATGGGGGGGGGATACTTCGCTAAATCATCATTGTAAGTATATAGAAACCGTACATTCTACTGTCTTAGTACATGGGACTCTTTGGGTATAAGGGGTTCTTTAAGGACGTGTGAGGCAGGGCTTCCAAAGCCTTGCAGGGAGGCCAGGAGGTTCCTAGAGAGTTTCGACAAGTTGGTTTGGTATCATATGTGGGGTTTAGGGTTTAGGGCTTAGGGTTTAGGGCTTAGTGTTTAGGGTTTAGGGTTTAAGGTTTGGGATCATATTTTCGGGTATGATACGTATAACACCATTCAAACAACTGCTTACGAGGTCGCCCGACCCTCCTGGTAAGGTGTTCAGGGCTTGGGGCTTAGGATTCCTTTGAGGGTTCCTTGAGGGTAAGGGTTCAGGGTGACGATGAAAACCCCAAGCCCTTACCCAAATCCCTAAGCCCTATAACTCTAAACCGTAAGCCTAACAGAAATCACGATTCGGCTCAAAACAGGATCCCACCAAACCCTCTACATGCCCTGCAGAATCGCATCGACTCCCTCGTAGAAATCCTTATAGACACCGTTGAGCTCGCTTCGTTCCGTGAGGACAAGCCAAAGGATGAATTTCTCCGCCTCAAGCAGCGCGCGAGGGGCCACAGCGGTGGAACTTGGGTTTGTGGGTTTCAGTGCTTTAGGGCTTGAAGTTTAGGGTTTAGGGTTGAACTACCATAGAGCTTCCATACTTTCTCTAGCAACGCATCTGTTGTAGGTTAAACGGGCAAGCAAGTGATTTGATTGAGTTTCAATGTTTACTAAAACCCAACGAAAATCAACCTACGTTTTTAGGGTTCTCGGTTATGCTTTCCTTCTGAGAAGGCCCTAAAAAGGTAGGTTTGCGCTGGTCAAGGTCGGTGGGTTTTTTCATAGGATCCCAAAGGGGTCGTTGATATAGTCATACCATCATATACCCCAAAACCCCATTCTGCCGCGGACCCTCCAACCCACATCTTCGGTGTAAAAGGTTGTGGTTGTTGAACAAACCCCCTCCTGACAACCTCAACCCCGCGACCCGAGGTTTACGTCCTGCTGGAGCAGGGTCGGAATGACATCCACGATGCTGGGCAGAGTTGGTTTGGATATTTGCTCTTAGATTTGGAGGTTACATATATATATATATATATGTGTGTGTGTGTATACACACATGTAATATATTGTGAAATTAGTATACCACCACACCTCATTCTATTCTGAAGGCTGCCGTTTGAGAAGGGTCCAGGTTTCGATGTTCTCAGGTTCCGAACCCCTTCCTAGACCCTAAACCTTAAACCCTAAACCCTAAACCCTAAACCCTTCCTAGACCTGGATTGCAGTACTTTTCAGTCGGTCCCAGGTTCAACAAAGGGAATCACAGTTAAGGCGGGTTTAGGGTTTAGGGTTTAGGGTTCAGGGTTTAGGGTTTGGGGTTTAGGTTTAGGGTTTAGGGCTTAGGGTTTAGGGTTTAGTGTTAAGGTTACAAACTTCTCATGAGCCCCTTACAAAGCCAGGCCTAAACCCCCAAACCCTGGCCCCCCAACCCCTCCCCTCATGTTCCGTTTTCTTCAATCCGAAAGGGCCTTAGGTACCGCCATGGGGTATACTTACCCAAATCATAGTAATTAGAGTTCCTACGATATTACATCCTAATATTGGTACTTAGGACCCTTTGGGAATAAATTCTCAGGAGCGACAGAAGCTGCTCAGCAAGCGGGGCAACTGCACGGCGTCCTGGCAGAATGTGGATTAGGGTGTGGGGCTCAGGGTTTAGGTCTTAGGGGTTTAGGGTTTAGGGTTTGAAAAGTAGGCCTCGGGGTTTGGGTCCTTAGGGATCAAGGGCATTTCCGAGTAGCAAAGGCATGCATATGGAGAAGAGGGGCGAATCAAGGAGGGTTGGTCATCCTGGAATCTATGATTCAGGATGTGGAAGATTTCGAAGGCAAGGCTCAGGGGATTGATTATGGCCGGGTTTTCGGGACCCGAACCCCAAAGCCCCTAAGCCCATGACCGTGGATCCCTACATCCCGACCTGACCCCGTAAATCCCAGGCACATTAGGCCCCTAACCTTAGTAGTATTATTAGGGGTACCCCTGAAAGGGTACCCCTTCTGAACCCTACTTTTGGCTCTCTTAAAAGGGACCTTATTGAGAGTCTACACCCCCAAGGGTCCCCCTAATCCTAGCCCCCCTTACCATTGAGCCAACTTCGGCTCTTGGCTAAGCGTCTCAGCTTCCATGCAGTCGCCTGGATAATTTTTAATACGGCTCTGGGTGGTATATTATCCCCTAATACCAAGACTCTTCTACTGCCATGACCCCGTTTAGCCTGATTGAGACTACTGTTACTCTATAAACAAATAAAATGTATGAGTAAACAAATAACAATATATATATATATATATATACTCTCAGACTACTATGAGGATTCTACGATTGTGTTTTGGGGCCCAACCCCTAAACCCCTAAACCCCT